ACATCCTGTAATACCTGACATTAAGGACATCCTGTATTACCTGACTTTACTGATATCTGACAATAAGGACATCCTGTATTACCTGACTTTACTGACATCTGACAATAAGGACATCCTGTAATACCTGACAATAAGGACATTCTGTTATACCTGATTTTACTGACACCTGACAATATCAACATCTTCTTATACCTGATTTTATTGACACCTGACAAAAGATCATCCTGTTATACCTGACTTTACCGACACCTGACAATAATGACATCCTGTTATACCTGACTTTACTGACACATGACAATAACAACATCCTGTTATACCTGACTTTACTGACACCTGACAATAACAACATTATGTAATACCTGACTTTACCGACACCTGACAATAACAACATCCTGTAATACCTGACTTTACTGACACTTGACAATAACAGCATCCTGTTATACCTGACTTTACTGACACCTGACAATAACAACATCCTGTAATACCTGACTTTACTGACACCTGACAATAACAACATCCTGTAATACCTGACTTTACTGACACCTGACAATAAGGACATCCTGTTAAACCTAAATGTATGACTGTTTTTTGGTCATTACTTATGCCTTTAACAACACTCTGTTCCGACAAAATATCAATAAAATCAGGATTCATTGTATAACAAATCTACATCAATGGTGGACTTTTGTGAATATTTGGTTGTATGGATCTGAAAAGGGTATATTCACAGTGATGAAAATCACGGTCAATGTAACTTTTTAGGTTAGTAGTCCCTTTTTTTTGTATTATTAGATATGAAGTTATGCTGTTTTTATAAGAAAACAAGATTAGTTTGGTTTGGTTTGATTTAGTATTGTTTAACGTCCTATTAACAGACATGGTCATTTAAGGACGGCTTCCCCTGTATGCAAGATGCATGCGTGTAGTGTATGTGTGTGTTTTAGGAGGCTGCAATATGTTCATGTTTGTCTCCTTGTAGCACGGAACTGATGCCGACTTTATAGTGCTACCTTACTGAAACATACTGCCGAAAACACCCAACAGGACACCCCACCATGTCACATTATACTGGCAACGGGCGAACCACTTGTCCCACTCCTAAATTGCTGAGCGTTAAGCAGGAGTAGAAACTACCATTTTTAGCTCACCTGGCACGAAGTAACCAAAAGGCCTAGGGTGATGATATTTGGCCAGAAGCAAACTGGGATGAAGGGCAACAAAGTTTGTTAAAATTAATGACCTTCACCCATTTTCAAGGTCACAGGGGTCAAATATGTTAAAAACTTTACACATCTTCTTCTCGATAACCAAACTGTCCAGGGAGGTGTTATTTGGACAGTAGCATGCTTGGGTGAAGGGCTACCAAGTTTATTCAAATGAATGACCTTCAATTATATTCAAGGTCACAGGGGTCAATTGTCTTAAAAAACCTTTAAACAACTTCTTCTCAATAACCAAAATGCCCAGGGTGATGATATTTGGCCAGTAGCATGCTGAGATGAAGGGCTACAAAGTTTGTTCAAATGAATGACCTT